ACCCAGATGTGGAACTTTCATCACAAAAGCTAGTCCACGGCGAATTCCATCGACAACGCATACAGCTCTTATATCAACTAAGCTTCTCTTGCTAATTTTATGAATGAGATATGAATTTTATGAATGAGATCTTCTAATTCATAAAATATCAGCACCCATTTAGTAGGCATTAGCAGCTAGGGATCGTTTCAAGCAACTAGCCAGGTCTTCCGATGAGAAAGGCTTTCAAGGGGCTCCGGCCAGCTACTAGTTGTGCAATAAACAAATGTTAATGCGATTCTGAGCTGATTCTACAAATCCTCTAATCCATTCTCACATCCACCACTATCCGTAGTTGGGACTGAAAGCACCTTGACATACACGAAGGGGAGGCAAAGTTTCAGCAAAATTCACCTTGCACAGAGTGACACGGAGCTGAGTTTAGGAGCACTCAAAATCGTGAGAGTCAGAGTCAGCCTAGTGTGAAAATTCTAGAACGCTCTACAGGATTCTGGGTCTTTTCGGCAGAACTGAAAATGAGAAAAAAAATCATAAACCAAGGAGGCATTTTCACAAATGGAGGTTGGCGGGAGCCATACAAGGCCGAAACGTTCTCAAGGAAGCTGTGTGGAGTGGCCTGAACTGGGCCATGATGCAGATGCTTCAAGTGAAGAAGTGCTGTAGGCCCAGCGAAGAATTCGGATCCAATAACCGGTGAAATTTCTTGGATAATCTACCAAGGAAAAAACTACGTGGTCGTCATCTCTTGAGAGGTTGTCTTCAGTGTTGTACACCGTCAGCAAAATGAGTATTCCCTATTTTGAAAACTAGTTTACGATCCTGTGATGTCAGTGTTGCACACCGCCAGCAAAATGAGTATTCCCCATTTTGAAAACTAGTTTACGATCCTGTGAACCGTGCCAGATCCATATCACCTTCTCCTCTCTTGCAGGTGGTTTTTGCGGGTGGTAAGAGGCCAGCCAAAGAATATTTGGGAGCTCTGTATTTGACTGATAGGAGCCTGCTGGTGCACCACACACTCACTATCTTATCTCTATTTGAAAGAATATCGATTTGTTTCAGACCTAGACAAACACAGTAGTCTTTTCTGGAGTCTTTTGCCTTTTATTGCTTACCAATATATTGTTCAGGGTGACTACTATATTTACCACTAACAGAGTTGCGAATTCAGAATTTGGTTACTTGCGTCATCATTGTATCGTTCCTGATCTCGCCTCTTTATGCGGTCTCAGCAAACAACAGTTGTCAAATCGAAAGCTATTTGAAATATTAGACCTACTCAGTGAAAGTCCCACCTAGCCTTATCCGCGATAAAACCAACCATTTTCACTCACTGCTTGTAGTATTTCACCAGCCTATCACAGTGAACGAACATCGCCTTCCTAACCAGGAAGGTCTTTCAGGGCGTGACGAAGCTTTTTGAAAACGGTCTTTTGCATGATATAGGGGCAGATGCGGGGACCACAGAACCATGTTTAATTTTTCCTGAACGGCCCTCTGAATACCAGAAAAGGGGGTCCCTAGTTCGATTCCTCTTGGTGACAAATTTTTGCATTTCGAGTTGACGTTCCAAAATTCGCGCAAAATGGAGTTCTGATTGTTCTGGTTGGTTCTAACTCCATTTTGCGCGAATTTTGGCACGTCAACTCGAAATGCAAAAATTTGTTACCACGAGGAATCGAACTAGGGACCTCCTTTTCTGGTATTCAGAGGGCCGTTCAGGAAAAATTGAACATGGTTCTGTGGTTTAACTTCGTATAATGTATTTCACTTTTTACCATTAGCTCCTGCCTCTGCCCCTATATCATGCAAAAGAAAGTTTTCCTGCATTCTGTTTTTTCAAAAAGCTCGTCACGCCCTGAAAGACCTTCCTGGTAAGTTTGTCCTGTCATTCGATAATAGATATTCTCTTAGACATTCTCTGCGATGCATATCTGAAACCTATTCGAGGTGACGGGCGGAAAAAAGTGACATAGAACTCTGCCTAACAGTTTTCTTTATAATCTCACCACTCCACTTGTAATCAAACTCTAGCCATAAAACAGTCAAAACTTTTACTCAAAAAATGTCAAAACTTTTACTCAAAAAATGATCTTTTCAGCCGAGCTTGGGAAGGGAACTCTTCGAAACAGAATTTCCTTAGCCGCTTCTAACGTGACTTGTTCGGTTGCTGATTTATCTATAAAGGATAAAAGGATAAAGCATTTGCCGTTGATCAATCCCTTTTGGGATGCGGCACGCATTCTACTTCCATTTGTACATTCGTAGTGGCGTTTGAATGCGATGGCCTATACAATGACTTGCGGGGCCAGCCGATGTTCAAGTCAGTGTTTTTATCCTCCCAGACAAGTCTGGTACCAATTAACCGACCCCGGAGGGATGGAAGGCTTGGTTGGCCCGGGCGACTCACGACCCAGGATTTGATCCCCGGACCGCTCGCGTGGTGAGCGCGCCACTTGTCACTACACCACTTCCGCCCTTCATTTCATAGTTCGTAAAAATGCTTGACCCAAGAGCGGATTGGCGGCTATTTCGTCTGAACCCTCATATTACATATGAGTATGGACCTAAATTTATTTACAGCCCGTTGCATAAGTTTTCATGTCATACGTAAACCAAAGCAGCAACTTGAAGTAGTGCAGGGACGGTCGACGCCGCCGTAAGCTTGACCACGAGATCAAATTTCAGCAGGGTCGATACAATTTTTCATTGCTAGAAATCATATTTTCACTGCCGACTTATCCCCTCACTTTTAATTCATTGAGCCGAGTGGAACAAAATGGATTGCACAGAGCATCCAGCTGTTATGTCCTTGAAATAGCTCTTCTTAAATGGCATCTATCTCGGCAGTGTCACTAAAATGTTGAATGGAAGTCGAATGCGTGGCGCATCCCAGAACTATCGAACAATTTAGTTTGACTTGTTTTTGTTGTTAACTGCTGTTTTTGGCCGCAGTTCGCCTTGCGAATGTTTCACAAGAATGCTGGGTTGTGAACAAAACTTTCGCCCCAGGCGGGACTAGAACCCGCACCTCTCGCTTTCCGGGCAAGTGCGCTACCAGTTACGCTACCGGGGCACCATTTCATCCCAACTCAGCTTTCATGGTAAGCTATGGTACGTATACCATGAAAAGCTGAGTTGGGATGAAATGGTGCCCCGGTAGCGTAACTGGTAGCGCACTTGCCCGGAAAGCGAGAGGTGCGGGTTCTAGTCCCGCCTGGGGCGAAAGTTTTGTTCACAACCCAGCATTCTTGAAACTGCCGTAAGCTTGACCTCGAGATCAAATTTCAGCAGGGTCGATACAATTTTTCATTGCTAGAAATCATATTTTCAGTGCCGACTCATCCCCTCACTTTTAATTCATTGAGCCGAGTGGAACAAAATGGATCGCACAGAGCATCTGGCTGTTATGTCCTTGAAATAGCTCTTCTTAAATGGCATCTATCTCGGCAGTGTCACTAAAATGTTGAATGGAAGTCGAATGCGTGGCGCATCCCAGAAGTTATCGAACAATTTAGCTTTTGTTTACAGAATGCCACTCTATGTTACACGACTTGCCCAGTTCCCATACTTTTTCAAGCTGATCACATTGGTAAGAGCTTGTATTTTTCTTTAAGTTTTCATTTATCGCTGATTTTTCAGTTCTTCACCCTAACTACGTTAATTTCCTTGGTAGGAGCGCCTTTGTTACCAGGAGGTGGGTTGATAGTTTTTTGACAAATATTTCTTTCTTATATGCCAATTCAGGCGAGCATGGTTGTTATGAAACGATCTCTGTAAGTGAAGTGTCGATAAATATGGAGGGCGGGGAGGGGTGAAGAAGAGGGGTGAGATAGCTCAAAAAGTCCTGAAATTTGTGGAAGCCGATACAATCGCCAAAAAACCACCTTGTAACTTTGGAAACGCGACAGCGATGCTTACAATAGCGTTCTTCAAGGACTACCAATTTTTAAGACCCATCGATACCTCGACAGCATTCTGTATGGACAGAATTTCTCAATGCCTAGTTTGACCGAGTCTGTGAAGGAATTTGCATACGCTTCCAGCCCCAAACAGTTAAAAGAAATCAGGAATATCTCGAACATATTTATCCCTCCATAATGTCCGAGGAGAACAGGGATAACGGGGGCTGAGATTGATTTTCTGGTGAAATCGAAATTACAAGAGTCCTTTACGACAGCATACAGAATCGCCCGCATGCGTACCCAAAAATAAAGATAAATAATAAAATAAAAAGGATAAAGCATTTGCCGTTGATCAATCCCTTTTGGGATGCGGCACGCATTCTACTTCCATTTGTACATTCGTAGTGGCGTTTGAATGCGATGTGGCCTATACAATGACTTGCGGGGGCCAGCCGATGTTCAAGTCAGTGTTTTTATCCTCCCAGACAAGTCTGGTACCAATTAACCGACCCCGGAGGGATGGAAGGCTTGGTTGGCCCGGGCGACTCACGACCCAGGATTTGATCCCCGGACCGCTCGCGTGGTGCGCGCGCACTTGCCACTACACCACTTCCGCCCTATAAAAGGAAAAAATAAACAAATAGAAATTATACGACTACGAAAGAAGGTCTTTCATAAATCGTTCATGCCGGAGATACGCATTCATAGGTCTCTGAGGCATAATACAACGCGAATAACACAGAGATAAGTGGGAAGTTCACTCAACTTTCCTTCTCATACATCAGATCTGCTTCAGGTTCGTCGTTAATATGGTTCACTATTGTTATTGCACTGATCGTTGATGTCTTGCTAATCGGAATGTTGCTGTTCGAACTCGACCGTGTTCAAATACCAATCCAAGGTGTTTCATTCAATTCATTGGTAAGTTCACTTGATACCTTTAAGGAAAAATTTCCCCTAACAACCTCTGACTCCTTCTAGGGATTACTGCCATGTACAAAGCGAATGAGAAATAACACAGTATTTCATAGTGGTCACCAAAAGTCCCCCACATTAGAGGAATGGCGCATTCCCAAATTCTTCCCTGTACAACAGGTCGACCATAATTCTAACTGAAAACAAAGAAAAAACAGACTTCCAAAACAATTCATCAAGGGAAACCACACGCTTGTTTCCACCTTTGAAACAAGTCGCCCCCAACAGCTACCCGTATTTTGCTTTCTTCGTGACTTATCAAGGATTTTTGGTATGCAACCGAGCACTTTTGTTTGCGATATTGAATTTAATAGCAACAAGGCTGGTAGCGGGTTTTCCCCTACTTTCTTATCCTCACCTCACATCAGTACTCCACGAGAGGGCCCCGATTCATATTTTGAGAAAACCCGGTTGTGGCAGACTTCTGGCCGAAGTCGTACTCCTTAACCTTTCCCCTCTCCATTCCAGATTCCTGCAATCACAAGAAGGTCCTCACTCAAGTGTGACGGCCTGAGAAGTATTCCATCAACCAACTGGTACAATAATAATATCGGCGCTACGATTCGCTGAAGCGTCTGGCGGTGGCGCGCGGCCAGTGAATCCCTCAGTGGCTGTAACCGCACGCGACGCGCGACGCTAGCGATCGCGCGTTCGCAAGTCTGCACATCGGTCTCAACAAGTGTGCCGCCAACATGTCCTGAGTTCAGACCCTAAAAGTGATTTATCATAAACTCCTCCTCACAGAACACGAAAATCTTGCGAAAATGCCGCACTTGTTCAATCACTTCCTACTAGTCATTCTTTGTAATTCTCGAGACTCATGTGTCAATAGTGTTCAGCAGAATAGCGCGCCTCTTGGCTGAGTATCTTCTACTTCATCTCCATATGGCTGTGCTTCAACGCAGAAGAATTCACAGAAAGCGGTTGGTTCTACTTGGGAGCGGTAAGTTTTCACCTTACACAGATTTCATATGAAAGCTTGCTGCCCCTTCTAGAGCGTCGGTAGCTACTCAAGGAGAAGTATCTCTGCTCGCATCTTGCAATTAAAACACATCGCGCCAAATCAACCTCTTAAAGGAATCTTCCACGGAAAAGCTCCGCCTCCATTACCACAGAAAAACGATACCTTAGGCCCCTAGCCTCATGAGCATAGCAAAAAGAACGGAACATAAGCGTTAGTTTCGATAATACTAATCCTACACACAAGACAAAATGATCACTCTTTCCGTGGAAGATTCCTTTAAGGTATCGTTTTCTGTGGTAATGAGGGCGGAGCTTTTTCCGTGGAAGATTCCTTTAAGTCAGGATCGTGGACATATCTTACACGATACTTGCGTGAAGATCTGCGCTGTGTAGTCCCTCAATGAAAAGATGCACAGGAAATCACAGGAAAAGCCAAAAAATAAACGTCCTCTTCGAATGAGAGTTGATTTGGGGCCTTCATTGAGCTGTATTCGAAGAAATGTTCCGACTAGGTGAGAGATCTCTGATGGCAAAGGGGCGAGATAGAATAGGACAGAGAGATTATGCAGACATGTGGATCGGCAGCAAATATATACTAAACGCGAGGTTTATGGAATCGGAACGTAGGCGCGAATAAAATGAGCCCTAGGGCCTTCAACACATACTCTGCCCTGATAAAGGCACAAACTGTGCTTATCGATCACTCGGCCTCACCAACAGAGCGATTGCACCACTTACATAGTTTTGCTACGAGTCTGATCCTTCATTGTATGTACTCATGCGTCTACTAACGCGACCTCCAACTTAAAAGAACATGATAGAAGAATTCCAGGATTTGTAGCGGTGTTTCTAGAAAATCTATATCTTTTAGTTAGCGTGCTTTGCGAACTTTGTGCTCTACGCTGCCGACTTCGTGATTTACTTGAGAATGTGGATGGCCGATCAACGAGCAGCAAGTAAGCAGAAAAAGTTTTCGAGTCGACATTAATTTAGATCTTAAAGGCAGATGATACGATAAATTGGCTATTGAAGAAGGGGAATTTTGGGTTACCGCAAAAAATGGCTAGGCTCTCAAGGACCGAGAAAGGACACTTTGCGGTAGGGAGCGGACCCGTGGCAATTCAGCAGGTTCCAATCCATGGTGACAGCCGCCTTCGTAGAGAACTCGGCCTCCAGGTGACTGAATGATAACGCGCTGGTTGCTGATACTTTACCATCATCCTTAGCTTTTGATGAGCATTTCACTTTGAGCGGCGATATCTTCTGTTTGCCTATATAATGCTCTATCAATCAACGCACAATTTTTGCTGGCATGATGCCGACAATTGACTAATCTCGACCAAATGAACTCTGCATTGGTCGATGGTCCGTTCAATGTGACAATCAAAGGGCAGAATGGGTCCCGTTCCGTTGATATTAGGCAGTTTTCCCTAACCACTGCACCAACTCCACCTCCATTTTCATTTTCAGCGGCGATCAATCTATTGTATCATCTGCATTCGAAGCAAGCCCGACATAACCATTAAAAATACTAATATGCTGCCGATGTTGAAAATATTTCAGGAGCCGACGGCGCTACGTACGAGTATCCATCTTACGGTGCACCCTAGATTGCAATCTTTGTTATGATTTTCTTTATTCTCATTTGAATCAACAAATAAATCAACAAACTATTTGCAAACATCAAAACTATCTCGATAAAAAAAACTGTACACACAATGTAACCGCCAAGGGTTACCATATAACAACGTATTGGAATTGGTTCGACAGGCCCGCTGCTCTAAAACTGGGCAGGGCAAGTTAGCCAAATGAAGGACGATTCTCAGCAGTTCTCATTAGTTCTCAACCATCTACAGAATAGCTATCTTCACAGAACTCTATCCCGAACCATGGGAGGATTGCTTTATGAACCCCACGCCATTTAGTCGAAACAACCATGGGCACCTTTTTCCCCTCGGAGAATGCCCATTCAAGAGGTGAGACTCGTGGGACTTGAACATGCGCAATCATAAACCCGCATTTTCAGGAAGGGTCAGAGGTCTAAGATGCACCCAGACAGAGCATAAATTAGTGGGATGAAGAATCATTCACCCACTTCTAGGAAAAAAATCTTACCAAAGAAACACATCATGTCACGTGAGGCATTAATAACAATTAAAAGTAGCTTGAGGAAATCATCACAACCTGCCAAAACAGTGGAATGCGTACATTCAGGAACAGTGTCATCAATCTTAACTATTTCAAATACATACCCAAGCCTACTCAGACTTCGTAAAAACGTCAACGCTCAGTTTCC